ATTTATAGATCTACAATATAGTTTTATCCAAAGCAAATATTTATAGTAAGACCCATTTCAAAACAAGGACTAGTGCTGAAAATTCAGCACCTAAGACAGTACTTCGATTACTTGGACTGCCCTTTGCAGTGTATAAGAATCAATGGATAAATGGGATATGACTACAGCCATCAAAATTGCCAACACAAATTCCTGTGAACAGGTTATATATCATGGAAATGATTACAAGGACACTGAGCATTATGGTTCGTAGGGTACATCATATTTGGATTCTCCATAGTAGAATTAAAAAATATAAATAGATCACATGAAACTGATTAAATGTCTTCTCATCAAAGCAATGGGTAACATTTAATAAGTTACGTCCACATCCCTAAACATAATAATTATTTGATATATTATTTCTCTTTGGGGTGGTCTGTATCCTGTCACACAGTAAGGACTTTGAAGGTAGGGCTTCTGTTTTGTTTTGTTATTTTTAAAAAATTGTTTGGCTTACTATTTTATTCCTCTTAGAAGTATCTTTCTCAGACCCATAGCATATGTTTGCCAGTGTTTACTTAATTAATCAATCTTATATAGCTCTTTTAACAGCTTACTTAAAGTGTCATAATTACAAGGGTTTATGTGTAGGTTGTCAGATTTAAAAGACTGGATATTTAACCACTATGCAAAGTTGAAAAACTATCCTTTGTATTCATAGAATAAATGTACCCTAAATTTTGCATGCAAATTTTAAGAGACTTGCAGGAATAGGGTTGGGAACAATTAAAAATTTTAAATAGTTAATTAGCCAGCACCATCATGCTGCAACAAATGTTCTTTTTTGGCTTTAATTTGCTTAGTTTATTATAACTTTGACCCATTCTTTGCTTTTAATATTTCAGTGTTATAGATTTGGCAAATTTTGCTTCCTGTTTGACTCAAGTCATTTTTCACCTTTTTTGTGAGGGGATATAAGTTCCTGCATTAGCTACTGACTTCTGACTTGTTTTATAGTTGCTGATTTTCATGTTCACTCACAGCTTTCTTTCCTTTTTTTAGATTTTTATTAGTGAAACACCATGAGGTACAGTTGTAGATTACAAATTTTTGTGTTTGGGTTTCAGTTATACAATGATTGAATACCCATCCCTCCACCAGTGCCCATTCTCCACCACCAGGGATCCCAGTATCCCTCCCACCCCCCGTCCCCCACATCCCACCCTGCCTCTGTGGCAGGGCATTTCCTTTTATTCTCTCTCTCCTTTTGGGTGCTGTGGTTTGCAAAAGAGGCATTGAGTGGCAATCATGTTCGGTCTAACATCTACTCTCAGCACGCATCTCCCATCCTGGGAGGATCCTCCCAATACCTTTTATTTGGTCCTCCCTTCTCTATCTGTGCTGCCTTTTCCCTAGTGTGTGCGGCTGGCCTCCGAGTCATGGAGTAAACCTCCTGGTACTTATCTCTGCTATTGTTGGGTGTTAGTCTCCTATTTTGTTACTTTATGTTTCCCAGATGAATGCAATCTTTCTATGTCTGTCCCTCTCTTTCCGACGCATTTCATTTAGCATGATACTTTCCATGTAGCACCACTCACTCACAGCTTTCTTTGTTTATCTTTCTATTCTTTCTGTTTTTGAGGAGGCACATCCAGTGATGTACAGCAATTACTCCTGGCTCTGAACTCAAGGATCTCTCCTAGAAGGCTTGGGGGACATATGTTGTGCCAGGGACTGAATTTGGGTCAGCCATGTACAAGGAAAGCACCATACCCACTATCACTCAGGCTCCTCTCGTTTTCTTTATAAATTATTATTCTCTGACTTCATCTGATACCTCGGGAGGGGAGGGAGAAGGGGCTACCTTTATATTAAGAACACTCTATATAAAGTGGAGAGATATAATATAAACTGGAGCTGGAACAATAGCACAGCGGGTAGGGCATTTGCCTTGCATGCTGCCCACCTGGGTTCGATACCTCCATCCCTCTCGGAAAGCCCGGCAAGCTACCAAAAGTATCGCGCTCGCCGACACAGCCTGGCCAGCTCCCCGTGGAATATTCTATATTCCAAAAACAGTAACAACAAGTCTCACAATGGAGACGTTACTGGTGTCCACTCGAGCAATGGATGAACAATGGGAGGACAGTGCTACACGACAGTGCTACAGTGCTATACTTAAAAAACAATTAGTAACAAAAAAGAGCAGGTTTTTAAAAATAATATCCTGCCAAAGAGGGACATTAGCAGATATTTATTTACACTCATCAATCCTTTGACTCTCAATTTTTGTTAACAGTGAAGTGTAGGGTTGAATAATTGTTGTTAATTTTTACAGTACATATTTTTCTCATAGGTAACTACTTTATATTAACCTTCTCTTCTGTAATGCATTTTGAGCAATTATTCAGCATTATCATTCTGTTCAATTAGTCTATGCCCACTGTGAATCTTTTTATTCCCTCTTTCTCTATTCTTGATTTCTTTATTTTGATTCATTGCTCAGTCAATTGTTCTTTGAATGATTTATTAGAAGCGGGGCATGTGGGAGCCTCTAGATACTGAGGATGTCTTTCTGATGTATTTGCACAAGAACAACAACTTGGCTGATAAGGAATTTCTGGGTTATAACATTTTCTCCTCAAAACTCCCCCAGGCTTACCTGCATTGTCTGCTTTTCTTTGTGATATGGAGAAATCTGAAAGGGCCTACAAAGAGAGCTATTTGACTGAGAATGGTTTTCCTGTTCTTATGACCCTTTCACCCAACACTTTTCAGTAAAACTTAATACTAAATACAGTAATTTGAAGCAGCATGTGGTTTTCCTCTTGTCAGAACAAATACAACACTGAATACTCAGCTCCCAAAGCTTTTCCTCTGTGATTCTGCAAGGCTAACTGTACCCTGAAGACACCTGGCACCTGGCATGAGCACCCATCCAGTTCAATTCCTGCTTCTGTTTCATTATTGCAAATCTTATTTCCAAATCGAGAGTACACATGGTATGGGGTTGAAGGCTTAAGTAATTAAATAGCCTCATTCATTTTGGAAGGAATAGTATATAGTGTTTCCTGAATAAAGTATGTTGAGAGCAGGAGTTCTTTTTTCCCCCAAGGGTAAACTCCATCTCTCAAGGACAAGGTGTATTATATGATTGTGTATTGTATAACAGAAAACTTTCAACATCTTTCTCATGTAATGCTATGCTCAGGGATAACCATGCTTTGGGCTGGAAAAATTCCTCCCGGGGTCCATTTGCCAGTATCTTATGTTCAGTAAAGTTAGTATCTTGCTGGGTTGTGTGAAAATCTTAGTAAGAGTGTGATAAAGTGACCTGAGTTCAGAAATAGTGTTCCTTTATACAGCATGGAAACCCAAGAGTCCCTCTTGATATATTGCCAAGACCAGGCAAGGTGGGTCTTCTCAAAGATCAGTTTATAACCAACAAACTGGTAAGTAAAGGATGCAAAGAACTATGAAAATATTGGCTTCCAGATGCTTCTGCCCTCTTTATATCTGCATCCTCAATACATCAGTACACATGCAGAGGGAAAACTAGTGAAACAGGTGGAAAGCAGTCTGGCAGACAATGATCTCCCTGTAGTTTTACACTTTCTATAAAACGTGTTCTTGCACAAGTAATAAATATAGAAACAGAGATACCAATGTGGAATTTAAATGGGTTTATGGACACTTAAAATGTTAAGTAGTTCCTCATCGAAGTTTCTCTGGAAGCAATGATTGCCACCATCGAACTATAAGCTCTTGCACCCAGAGTCTTTATGGTCTACTGTAATTCACTTCACCAGATCTTTCTTTCATCTTATCTTTCCTTTCTTCAGATACACTGTGGAAATGGCACATATGATTTTTATATAAGTTCTTAGAGCACATGTACTAAATAATTGTAATGTGAACCATAAGATCTACTGTAGGTCAATGTTAATTATATATTTGATAAATGAAATATGGCAATCTAGAGTATGTCCACAAAAAGCATCTGACAGGGGAATGCACTTTGTGTCCAAATAGGTAATTAAGACATTTAGCTTGCATAAAATAAAATCATATGGGTGTGTTTCTATATAGAATAAAACAGGATGCTAGAAAAGATCTCATGGATTTGAGATAACACGTGAGGTTGTGGTTTCTCTGGTTACCTCAAGTCCAAAGATTATGAACCGAAGCAATGGGGAGATAGTACAATAAAATAAATTTATTTGTTTAAAATATAAAACTTTAACTGAGTTACAGGATATCATCAAAGATTAGCAAATTTATTACTAAAGATATGAGTTCTCTGTCATTGGAGAGAATAAAGAGCCAAAAATAGTTAACTCTGTTGGTGCAATGCTTATTAAAGCACTATTTTATGTTCAGGGGGAAGAACAGAGGCATAGAAGGGCTTCATATCCTTTTAAATATGTTATTCCATGAAGTTGCATCAGTACCCCATATTGAGTAATGAAGTATTTGATACATGAAAAGATTATCTTGTCTTTGCAAGGAAAAGTACTTTTTAATGTGGATAATGATAATGACAAAGGAGTTAATATTAACCAATTAAATAAAACATGATAAGTTTATTCAAAGATATCAAAATGATAGGTATTATTTTATAAATGAGAAAATCAAGATTCATGTTATGCAATTTTTCCAAATGACGTGATTTTTTTCTCCAGTAACAGGAGAAAAATCTATAGATATTTTTCCTATAAAGAGCCATATAGTAAATATTTTAGGTTTATGGGGTATGGAGTCTTTTTCAACTATTCATCTACACCACTGTAGCATTTTAGAAGCCATACACAATGTAACTGACTAGCTATGATAAAAAAAAAACACCCTTATTTGCAAAAATAAAACCCAAACAACAAAACAAAATAGAACAAAACCTGGGACTCATGTCCCATGAACCTTAGGAGGTCAGCTTGTGCTCAAAAATCAAGCCATCTTCTTATTTGTGGATGGGAAAGTACAAACAGGATAAGAAATGTCCTCCATGTGACCATACTTACTCCATTTGCTTTGCTGAGTGCCTGGAAGTAGATGCTATAGCTTTTCAGAGGGGAAAGAGGAGGGTTCCAGTAGCCATTATAAGTCTTGTTGTCACCCACAGTAAATGGCTGGGTGACAGGAAGGTTGGCAGGCTTCAATTCAGCAGCAAAGTAGTGTAGAGAATCAAGGTTGGAGGCATTCCTATAGCTCACAGGCACTGAGAAGCACTCAATGATGTCAGCTGCTCTCCGAGACTTCTGAAGCCGTTCCTCCTTGACAACTAGCTGATACACACTGGACATAAAAGAGAAGAAGCAAATGAGCAGCTCCCTGGAGTAATCAACTTGTTTTATCATCATTGTTTTATCATCATGTCAATCTCCCTCTTGAGTTTCAAATTTCCAAATCCATTGCTATCTAAAGGTTGGGCTCTATTTTGGTGTGTCCAAACCAGCACCCACTGGATATGCACAAAATTGCAACTCAGCTCCAACCCCTTTATAACCCATCTACTTCTTCTGCATTTCTTTTCTTAGTAAGAGCATATTGTCTTCCCAGTGACCATGTACTGAATTTTCCATTTCTGCCTCTGAGTGCTTGCTCTCCACCAGCAGTGATCTATGTAACACTCTGAATTTGTCCCCTCCCTTTTCCCCTCTTTCATTCAAGATGCTAAAGTTGGAAAACTGCCTAACCATTCTATGGACTCAACTGGGCCCCACTAATTGTACTTGATCAGTTAACCAGTCATTAACCTTCTTAATCCTACAACAGTGTCTCTTAAAGTATTTCCAAGCACTGTCCATACTATGAATGTTACAATATAAACTTTTCATTCTGGAATATCAAGAACTTTATGCTTTGCTTCCAAGCTACATTTCAGAAAATTTTATAATACACTTCCCATTCTTGTTTCTTTAGACCTCGTGATTTTATCCAAACATCCTCTGGATCCCACATCTTACTATTATCAGCTCATGATTCATCCACCTGCCCACTTCTGCTTGTGGAAATCTTTCAATAAAGCCAAACCTATCCTTGACAAACTCTTGTAAAGCCTCTATAAACTGCCTATTTTGATGAGTTTCTTCCTCCCACTTAGTTTTCTTATAGCTCACTAATGGCTCTCTGCTTGGGACTGCAATAACATAAGCATGAGACTACTGTCTGGCAGAGTAGGTGTTGACCATTTGGCGAGTGAGAGCTGTGGCTTAGTCATCTCTCCATCATTTTATCCCAGTACACATTGCCCAGCAGGTTGCCTGATACCCAGCAAGTGATCAATGAAAGCTGTGTAAATAAATCAAATTGAAATAAACTTAACCAAAAATAAGCATGAGAGCAAATCAGTCTGAATGTAGAAAACACGAAAAAAGACAAACAGTGATTCCCTAGAACTCCTGTCTGATGTTCTTTGATCATTCTCTACAAATAAGAAGTAAATAAGAAAAACAGGGGACATTGGTGGTACACTGGTGAAGGGAAATGAACACCGGTGAAGTAATATCGTAGAACTGAAACCCAATGTGAACAACAGTGTAACTGTGCATCTCCTGGTGATTCAATAAAAGAAAACAAAATGTTTTAAAAAAGAAACTAAAGCTAAAAGAGGGGAGAGAAGTACATAAGGTTCTAGTGCATGATAGGGATGGCTAAGCACTTATGTTCTTTACCAATTTATATTCCATGATTTACAATATTGTTATTTATGGTTTTTTAAGCACATAAGTTCAACACAACACTCATCACCAGTGTGCCCACCTCCTTTCCCCTGCTCAACCCTTAATTGAACAATAACTGCATCAAAAACAAGTAGGCATAAAAGTTATGCTAAAGGTTGTGATTTTTGGATAATATTGACTACTTTTGACTATATACAGTTTGTTTTTCTCTTGAATAAATTTTATTTTAGAAGATCTTCATTGCATTGATCTTGGAGGCTTATGATATAAGAATAAATTATTTGTTCAAAAAGTGTTTCTGTATATTTCTGTGAATTTATGATGTGACAGCTATAGTGGCTTTGTATGAGCTATTAAAAGATGGCAGAGAGAATTCATACATAGTTTATGAAAATGGAACAAGGTGTGAACTACTTTCTGTCCATTGTACTGACAATCTAAAGACATTTGATTAAGTAGCACAATGTAGGTAAAAACAGAGGTACTGGATTATTACATTTTGAGAAAAGGGGGTTACTGAGGAAGTAAATGAGTAAATGTGATGCACTCAAAATTCTGAGTAAATGTGATGCACTCAAAATAATAGGTCTCCTTCTGACTTTACCTGAGCATGGAAATAATCAGCAAATAAGTGGGAACTAGGTGTCAAGGAAGTGTATTTCTGAAAGAAGGTAAGAAATAACCCAGTGAGCATTCTTGCTATCTAATGTAGCATCTGAACAAGGATTTGATTACCCAGAGAACACGGAATGGCCCGGAGCAAAAATGAACAGTCTCTAATGGAGCTTGTACCCCATTCAAGGTCCAATATCCAAGTGAGGATCTGTGGAATTGGGTTATCTGAAAACTCAGCAAATGTATAAGCTTTCTGAATAAGTAGACATAGATAACATCCAGATGCCTGGAACTAGTTTGATTAATATGTTTGGACACCAACATTAGCACGTGTGACATTGCATGTGTCTAATATCCCAACTCTGTGTGTGTGTTTGTATGTGGTTAAGAGAGAATTATCTACTAATATATGTTCATAAAGCTGAAGACTAAGAAAACTTATAAATTCAATATTCATTCCTTCTTCAATCCGGGGGTCCTAAATGATACAATAACTGTTTATTAGGATAACTAAGCTCAAAACAGTTCCTGAGAAATAGTACAAAGACCCCAAACCAAATAGGAATAATGGACTGGGAGCAGAAGAATATCGACATCAGTGTTTTCAGTACCACATTACTGTACACATAACTAGTATTAAGAAGAACTTATATCTGGCTACAGAGTGAATGATAAATAGCCCTATCTGTTGAGGGACCATGTCTTATGAAACCCTAATCTATGAGCAAGGGAAAAAGACAATTATTGATGAAGGAACAACATATTCATAGGTTCTCCTGCAGAGACTGGCAATGTCACTGAAAATACTCTGAACTGGGCTTGGGAGTATCCAACTTATTCAGTTGTAACCAGATCTGAGAACCCAACAGCTTCATCCACTAAAGCAGGGGTCTCTGTTTCCATCTAAAATGAACCCTTTCCCTAATCTGATAATCCTGTTCACATGACAAGTCCTTTAATTTGGTTTCTCTATCCAGAATGATTATCCCACTCTTAAATGAATGTCAGTCATCCTTTCCCACTCAAATGAGAGCCTAAAGTCTTGCGGGCTTCCCTGGGGCTAGTTTTTATTGCTATATCAATTTTCTGCTGACTCTGTCTGTCCCCTCTTTTTATGGACTGGCATGGATTGAGTCAGTCACACAGTTGACCTACATGCTGCCAGGATTGGTCTGAGACGCTATAGAGTGGGCTACTGAGTTGGTCTTCACTGTACTCTGACACTTGAAAGGCTGCAGAGGGAAGCAGAGCACATGATTTCATTATTTCCTCCCTCCCTTCCACCAATTCGGTGACTGAGAACTCACTTGTCAATTCAACCCAACCCAGCTGTCAGATTACAGATGGGAATGCTGAGGTTAAGAGAGGTTGAGTGTCCCATGAGACTAATTACTGCAAGAAAAATGGAGACAGACACTTTTTATGTATATTCTGATTCCCACCTCACCTCCCACCCCCAAACACACACACACACACACACACACACACACACACACACACACACACTTCTTTCTTGCTTTTCTTTTTCCCACAAGTCAACAATTGTACACAGAGCCTTCTGAGCATTTTCACTTGGTGGCCTAAATCCTAAATGGCTTAGCTCTATTTCAACCCAGTCTCAACTGAAATTACAAAGAATAGCAGAGGAAATTGTTGAAGGGTTAAATTGTATTGTCAACATATGGTTCACGTGTAATAGGGATTAATGTGCCAGAGTATACCCAGACACTCCCTCAGGCCTGCTGTGTCTGCAGCTAGTACATTCAGAGGCAAAGATATAATTGTAGCCATAAAGCTGGAAAATATTTTGTCCTATAAGTATTATTTTTCTTGCCAATGGATCCGAAATCTTAAAAATTAAGGAGGAGGTGAGAAGAAATAATATGTGGTATTTGAGCAAGCTTCTTTACGTGGACACATACACTTTAGGATGGGTGGGGGAAAATGAAACAAGAAAATGTTCATTATTTCTTGCAGTAATTTACTGTAAATTTTTTTATATAACTTCATTCTCATCATCATTCTCATCATCATTCTCCTGAAAATACATTTATCTAGATGCACACTCTTTTCAACTTGCTAGGATACTAAAATCACTCCTAAATGAGAATATCCACCCTGCCACCTGCCACCATATCGTTATTGCAAAAGAAGTAGATACAACAAGTTCTTTGGACAAAAATCCTGATAGCATAAAAAGTACTAAATTAAAAAAGCTAACTATGCTACAGCATTTGCTCACAAATTTTTTACTCCTGTGTCACCAATGGTCACAGGATTGACCTGTGATCTCCCAATGAGGAGACAGACACTTTAAACCAAATTTTCTACCTCACTTATCGTCCATGTCTCATGATTTCTGCATAACACCTGCAGGATTCCTGATTTAGAAGCTATGTGGTATCCCCACCACAATGCAGAGGTCAATAAGAGTTGATAGCTTTCTTCACCAGTTTGGCTTTGATTTTGTCCCTTTCATCGTCCAGTGCTCATTCTCTTTGCTGTGGTGATTGAACCTCTTCTATCTCCTCCTTCACTGTTCAAATACAGGTTTGCTGGAAACTTCTAATCCTTTAGTTTCGTTGTCTCTTGAGATTGAAATACTTTATCTTGGTTCTGGGTCCCCCAAATACTATGTTACAATAGACAGTTGCCCTAAACACCTTTGAGAACCACATCTTCAGGAATTCTTCAGCAGAAACTTCTCTGCAAATTTTGAAGAACACTGGCAACTGGTTTAGATGGTGAATCATACTTCTCTGAATGGATCTAAGATTAGAGCCAACCAATCATCTATCTCTGATAAAGTTTATATCCCCATTTCCTTATCTAGGAAGAGATTTTCAGTCTAGGGGTTAATACATTCAGGTTATTGGAGAGAGATGACAGATAGAGGCGAATGTAACTCAATAGGTAGAAATTGCCTGTTTTTAGAAAGGGGCACAGGAGTCCATATTCTTTCAGAAATGAATCTGTTTTTCTCCATGTTTTTCCAGA